TCCCGTGTCCACGCAGCACTTGTTTGGCACAAACATTTGAATCGCGCCTTTATTATTGATTTGGGAAGCGTACATGGCACCTTTATCGGTAAAATACGTCTGGAGGCCGACCGACCCCAACAGGTATAACCTCATCCCTTACTATCCCTGTTTATCAAGTATTTACAAACCATGACGCTCTTTGTTTATTTTTCAATTCTTTTACTTTGCAGCCAAAGTTGCGCTGCTAATTAGGCCTTCACCGTCTCAGTAAATTTGCACTCACTGTGCTTTTGCTGCTATTTCACAAGCTGCGTTTCTGCAAATTTAAAGCTAATGTTTTCTTTAGTCCTGTCTTCTGTTAGGTACCTTATAATGTGGTGTTCAGAATAATTCTGTTCGACATTGTTTACTCAACATATGCAGGTTAAATATAAGCCTGCGATTTGTGTCGTTATCTTAAACTGATATTGTTTAACTCCGGTTACTGCTCTTTCTTTTGGACCCAGTTTTGACTGCTGATAATGCTATCAGCCAGCTAAAGCTAGGGCTCTTCCGTACCTGTTACAATTTTGCTCGCCATTTTACAAGCCAGGAAAGCCTGATTTTCAATTCATACACTTAATTCATCAAGACGTAAAACTGGCCAAAAAGATCATTAGTCGCTGTTTAACTAGCTTGATACTGACGCTGAAAAAACCAAAGTGGGTCTCAATCAATCTGAAAGCAGTGTAGAAATTCGCACGATATACCACCGTACTTTCTGCGGACTAGTAAGTAGTCAGCTATACGACGCTGGGGCCGATTAGGGGCAAAATGGATAGAGTTTGTCGAGGATTATTCGAAAGTGGCGATAGGGTTTTGCATGCTTGGCAACCAAGGTGGTTGAGAAAGTTGGTAGATCTGGGATTGAACCATGTTAGCAGGAACCGCACGATTCTCTTCATCATAAAGGATGTCTCGTATCTTTTCAGAGCGGCTGTGAGCGGTGCCACCCAACATCGTTTGGTATCAATACATTAAAGCGCTGGAGATGCTTTCAGACTTAAGAAGGCGGTTCATACTCACCAGCTCCTACTGGCGGTTTGATTTGCATATTTCGTTTCTACAGCGTGGTTGATTCCTTTGACTGATTGAACTGAGTACTTAGTTGCTGTTTAGTTAACTGACATGCGTGCCAACTAATCTTGGTTCCTATTGAGTTAAGGTCTCCGCTTGTAGTTGTTCAAATGCCACTTAATTTAAGTGGCGGGACCTAAGTCCAAGTATTCCCTTCTGCACTGGTAATTTACATGGCTGTTGATGTCTTGAAAATATGTACGCCTCACCGGAGTGCCATTATGGCAACCGTGAAAATCCGATAGCTTGAAATTCAAATTGAAAAAAAAACATGACTAGTGTTGTTGATGGTCAAGGTACCAGTTCTGGGACGCACGCTCCGATATTGTATCTGCGTTATGGCCAGTCAGCGTAGCAACCGGTCAGTGAATAATGATGGGTTTATCCATAGGTTCGACTGAC